CACCAATTAAAGAACAAGTGAAGGAAAACATCGTGAGGAAACCTGCATATTTTCGAAATAATAACCAAAAAATATATTTCGAAGATATGTGAAGTTCGCCAACCCGCAGTGGGGCCGCGTGGTGGACTATGCCCTGATACTCTCGGTATAGAGGAGGCCTTTGCCCAGCAGTGGGACATGTATAGGCTGTTACTTTACTTTACTTTTACTCTTTACTTTGCTTATGATTTGGGGTATCAGATTTTTACACACGAATTAACACTTAGAATACATTTATCGTAAGCCTCGAAAGATCAAGGATTAAAGGTCGAAAGCGTGTAGCGAATGGAAAAAACTTTACAGTTATACTTTAATTACGTTGAATAATCTATTTGGTTACTCCACTGGGTTTACAAGACGTGGTCGCGGCGATATCAAAGAGACTACTCACGCTAATATAACTGATAAGAAAATTTCGTGAGGTACTAATTAAAGAACTATCGCCAGTGGTCGAATTTGGCCGTACGCCTTTTAAAAGAAATAAAATGTCGTTTGTTTGCTTCAAGCCTTCTGTACGAAAGAGCTATTTGAGTTACTTATACTTATTTCACTAGCTATTTCGGTACTGTATGTTACAGAAATATACCCGTATAAAGTTGTCTTCGTATGCAGCACATTATCCGATATAATGTTATGTAATAAACAGTAACAAGTAATAAAATGCAAGAACGGTAACTAATATATAATAATAGCTGGTTTCCGTGGCTTGTTCTGCTCGGGACTAGTGCTTCCAGTAGCTTATTCTTCTGCAAGATCATAATTATCTATCTATCTTCATACCAAAATTCAAATACCAAAAAATTGGTTCTGCGGATTCGTCGTGAAGGCTTGTTGTTAAGGTATCGCCGACAGAGCTACTTTGAGAGACCCTTCTATATTGATTAATTATAAGCCTATGTGTTTTTCTGATGTATAAGCCAATATTATTTTAAAGTTTCATTAAAATCCATTCAGCAGTTTTTTCTTGAAAGAGTAACAAACAAACATACATGCCATACATACAAAATTTCGCATGTATAATATTAAGTATTGTGTATATTGAATCTAATCCAACAAAATCGAGCAACTGTCAATGTTTCGAATTTTATGGAAATAACCATTTTTTTACTAACGAAAAACAAAACAGACTTGAAATGTCTCGCTGTGTATTCAATTTATAATTGATTTTCACGATTTCCCTAAGTATCTCCGGAGCCCAAGATCCAATACTAAAGAAATTAGATATGAGACCACATGGGAAGCACCAGTTTGCAAATAAAAAAAAGAATCATCAAAGTCGGTCCGAAAGTTCAGAGGTGACAAACATATAAAAAAAATACAGTCGAACTTAAATTAAAAATAAACGCGATAAAACGAATATCAAACTTAAATTAAAAGTAAATCCGTAAAATTAGTTTCATTTATAAAATACAGTCGAATTGAGAACCTCGATTCGACTGTATTTTTATTCATAGGCTCACTTCATGGAAAGTGATCGCCGCTGCCCATGAACATCTGCATCTTGAGGGCTTGAAAACGCGTCGCTGAACTCTCGGGAGAGAATATGCTCTCATCTTGAAGCTTCCCAGGTCGTAACGTTTCGGAAAGACCGCCGGCGGCAGCTGTTTCCACAGAGTTGAGTGTGGCAGGAAATGCCTTTCAAATCGCGCCGTTTTGGACATCGAGGTGGTGTTGAACTTTCTAGTTTAGTCGTGATGCCCGATCGTGAAATTCACCAGCCGGGATCAAGACGAACAATCGGAACACTCCCCGTGATAAATGCGCTAGTGGATATGCAAAGTGAAACATTTTGTATTGGATCGTAAAAATTTTGATAAACCGGTAATCCTTTCATGGACAGTTATTTTTGTTCTACAATCACCTTTGAAGATAATCCCTTGCCGGAGACAGTATCATATACATATCATAGATAGTAATAAAGCGACTGACAGATAATAAAGGGGCTAATCGATATCAATTTGATTACCGCGGATAATATACTTACTTCCTTACTATCCTTACTAATATTATAAACGCGAAAGTTTGTATGTATGGATGGATGTTTGTTGCTCTTTCACGCAAATACTACTGAATGGCTTTTAATGAAACTTTACAATAATATAGCTTATGCATCAGAATAAGACATAGGCTATAATTTATATACATGTTTTATATATATCTGTCTTTCTGTCTTAATGTTACAACTTCAGCTTATTCTACGTACAGACGTAATCGCGGGGAGCAGCTATTATTCAATATATAATAGATTCCACGATAGCAGTCACAAAACACAGCTTGCATTTCCTTGCTGAATCTATCTATATCCTTACTTAGAGTATAAAGGCGAAAGTTTGCATGTATGGATGGATGTTTGTTACTCTTTGCCACAAAAACTAATGAATAGATTTTAATGAAACTTTACAATAATATAGCTTATAAATTAGAATAACACATAGAATGTAATATACAAAGATATTGTGTAAATTGTATAAAATATAGATAGATAGTGTATTTTTTTCGTTTAGTGTGTTACTAGCTGTTATTCGCGGATACTCCGGCGCATATAATACAAAGTTATATATGTTAAAAATATAATACAAAAATAAGTTATGAGCAGGAGACAACACTTTGTCACCGGGCACAACAAAAGTCAAACATAGTTAAATGGTACATATTTATATGTCATTTAAATAAATGCAAATCACTTCTAAAATTATATTTTAATCTTGGCTAAGTAAAATGTTTACTTATTGAAGCAAATAATATCGAATAGTGGTGTGGCTACATTGGATAGATTTGTCTAACTAATTCTTAAGAGATTCATTACCTTAAAAAGTGAAGCATTGAGTAATCTAACCATTCAATGTGTAATGAACTTATTTTATGAATTATAAGAAACAAGAATTAAAAATTGCGTTTATCTGGAAAGGATATATCTTGTTCCTCGTAACCTAATAGGTGAAGCCAATGAACGAAGGAATACCACTAAAATACTAAGTTATTTCAAGCTTTCGACGTGCTTTATTGCTAACAGGTACTGACTTGAGATCATCGATGCCTAAGTGCCAACTTATACAGAGTCTTTACATTTACCATTATTATTTTGTACTATATAAGTACAAAATAATAATGGTAAATGAACTAACGAGCACTAACGAGCCATAACATAAAAGCAATAATATTAAGATTAAAGGGCTTTAGCGTGTTGCGCCGCAATTAATATCCAATATCTAAATAAAAAAAAAAATGTAGGGTCAGAGTCGACAATAACATCAGCTACACACGATATGACTTAATTTTAATGTCCAACGGCACCATTGTAAACATCCCTGTATCGTGAAAGTGTACTTAATTAATTTGATTTATTACTTTTAACCGTGATAGTTCAGTGTCCGGGCGCTCGCCTATAATTTAATATGCTCGAGCAACCTGAGTTCGATCCCCGGTGCCGGCACCAATGAAATTGTCAATTTTAAGTGCTGAATTATCACGTGCTCAGCGGTGGAGGAAAACATCGTGAGGAAACCTGCATATTTTCGAAATAACAACAAATATTTCGAAGATATGTGAAGTCCGCCAATCCGCAGTGGGGCCGCGTGGTGGACTATGCCCTTATACCCTCTGTACAGAGGAGGCCTTCGCCCAGCAGTGGGACATGTATAGGCTGATACTTACTTTTTTTTATTACTTTTAACGGTTCATTTTGTTTCAATAACACTGCGGCTTATTTCGATAAGTTGGCGCAAATCTTTAACTGCAACACCATTCGATTAAGGAGAGAGTATGGGTGTATCCGATACCACTGATATAAAACCTGGAGATTTAGAACTATTTTTTCGAGTGTTTTTGTTATTTGAAAATTTTGATTTGTAATAACATTCATCCTTTTTCCAATAAACAAGTTATGAGATTTTCAAATTACTACTGTACAGACAATCAACTCGAAAACTCCTGTAAAACTTATTTTCAAAAAATTCCCTTGCGTATTATAGAACATTCATAGCGTTTGACTCTATTGCGTATATTGTAAAAATATAAAAAGAAAGTATGTCTGTACTTATGTACTTATGTACATAAGAAATTATAGGTACTCATTTAACGTAAATACATCAAATACCAACGATGACGGTTTATTTAAATGACTTGGAGTTATTGGTAAATGTCAATTTGTTATTATTTGCCAAGATTTAATCGGTTACCAAGCGACATGTCTTTTTGACTGTCGGCGTGCGCGCGCATCGTAAAAATTATAATCTCGTAATTTTTCTTAAAGAAGTATAACTTCGTAAAACAAGAAAAATATATCCTACGGCGGAGGTAAACTTCACAGTTATGAGCGGTGTACAAAGAACAGAAGAAACGAGTCCATTTTTTATTAACAAAAACTAAACCGACTTCCGATATCTCGCTCTGTATTAATTTTATAATTGATTTTGGGGGGTTCCCTAAGCAGCTCTTAGTAAGTTAAGTAGTAAGTTCCGTAGTAAGTTTTTTTTTTTTTTTAATTTAATACTGGCCAGCACTTGACTGCCATCCCACCTGATGGTAAGCGGCGATGCAGCCGTTGATGGTAAGCGCGCTAGCTCAGTAAAAACCTATTCACGTTCCGTAGCCCAAGGTCCAATACCAATGAAATTAATATTTTTTTATGTTTGTTACCTGAGAACTTTTGACAGAGTGAATCGATTTTGATGACTCTTTTTTTATTCGAAAGCTGGTGGTTCCCATGTGGTCCCATATTAATTTCATTGGTAATTGGATCTTGGGATCCGGAAATACTTAGGAAAGTCCTGAAAATCTACTATAAAATGATTACAGAGAGAGACATTTGATGTCGGTTTTAGCTCCGTTAGTAAAAAATGGCTTGTTTGACGTCGTTTGAAAAAAGAAACGTTAACCGGGAGGTGTATTAAAACAGCGGGAGCTCTGTACATAGTTAAATAGACGTTAATAAGGGGGTGTACTATAACAGAGGGACTCACCGATAACGTGCGTGCTTGAGCCATCCTCTCTAGACACCTTGCCGGATTGAACGGTCCGTGATAAAGAGGCGGAGATGTGCGCCCGTTCTGGCAAGTAGCGGCGATATGCCAAGCGCGAATGGCAACTCGTTGGACACATGTAATAAAACACTATCGCGTATTTATTATAAACATCGGCGTCTCGCGTGGTAGACAAGTGATTTAGATAAAAATTAGGGTTCTGCTATCGAGCGAGGTAAGAATACACCAGTTCCAGCCAGCTACGGTTGCGCATCTATTGTAGGTTTCAATTACAATGCGATTACACTCAAAGAACAGTCATTGTAGCATTCGACCGTGCTGCTTGTGGTAAGTGCGATGGTGGTGGAGTACTCGTGGCCGTGAGCAAGGAAATTTGTGCTTCCCGAATATTTTTCAATACATCACACACATTGGCAAATGTTGATTATGTCTTCTTAGAATTACCGTCTCGAAACAACCAGCGAAATATTATTGCTGGCGTTTATATTCCACCTCAACAACCTTTGGACGTGTATAAGACATTTTTGAAACCACTTCAAAATATTTTATTAAACGCTAATATCGACAAATTTTACATTGTAGGAGATTTTAATATTCCGTCAATTGATTGGTTTTTGTTTTCTGCAAAAGAATTAACACCTATCGGTAAATATATATCTAACTTTTTAAATTTCATCGGCGGATCTCAATTGAATAAATTAGTAAATAAACATGGCAATATACTTGACTTGTGTATCACAAATAATTCCATTCTTAATGATCACGTGTGCACCCTTCCTTCAACGGAACTGGTACCCTCAGATACTTTTCACCCACCATTTTGTATATGTATTTCTCTTGATTATCAAATTTGTAAAATGTCGCGTAAGCCTATCGCTAAAAATGCATTCTTTGAAGCTAACTACGTAGAAATCAATAACGAGATTTGTAAAATTGATTGGACTTCAAAACTTTCTCATTTATCATCCGAGTCAGCAGTCTGTACATTTTACGAAGCTATTTATTTTATTATAAAACACCGCGTACCACTCCGGCTAACTAAACCATCGTCCTTTCCTCTATGGTTTTTGCGTCCATTAATTCATATTTTCAAAAATAAAAATAAGGCATGGATCAGGTGGAAAAAATATAAGTGTCCTTCCGACTATGAAGATTTTTCATTATATCGCGCCCGATTTAAAGCTGAATGCAAAATCTGCTTCCGCAGATATATAAACGCAATCGAAGAGGGCTTACGCAAAGATGTAAAGAAAATTTTGGCAGTACGTTAACAGCCGTAAAGATTTAAATGGTATACCTGAAACTATCAGTTACGGAAAAGAAATAACTAAGCAACCCGAAACCGCTTGCAATCTCTTTTCTAAATTTTTTCAATCAGTGTTTGAACCATCTTCCATACGTTCAGATTTTAACACACATAACATAACCCGCCCGGGATGTGAAATTTCTTCTCATATAATTATATCTTCAATTGATTTTAAGGATGACACGGTGCGCACGTATTAAAATCATTAGACGTCTCTAAGGGAACTGGACCCGATGGAGTACCACCTATTTTTCTTAAACATACAGCGAACACAATCAGCATCCCTTTAACTATCTTGTACAATAAATGCATTCGTGAAGGTACCTTTCCTGCTGCCTGGAAAATCGCCAATGTTATACCTATACACAAGAGCGGCTCAAGACACGAAGTAGAAAACTATCGCCCAATTTCATTATTATCAACTATGTCGAAGGTTTTTGAGAAACTAGTACACAACTATCTATACTCAGCCCTTCGTAATGTTATTATACCACAGCAGCATGGTTTTGTTCAGAAACGCTCTACCGTCAGCAATCTTTTACTTTACACAACTTTTCTCGTTGAACATATGGATAAAGGTATCCAAGTGGATTCTGCTTACAATGATTTCAAAAAAGCCTTCGATAAAGTAGACCATTGCATACTACTTCAGAAACTTGCATACAATGGAATTCGAGGTGATTTACTTAGGTGGTTTCATTCATACGTATCTAACCGAACGCAAAAAATAGTAGTAAATGGCTATATGTCACACCTTACTACCGTTACGTCTGGAGAACCTCAGGGCTCAATCCTTGGTCCCTTTTTGTTTATTCTATACATTAATGATATCAACACTTGTTTTCATCACAGCAAGTTTCTCCTATACGCAGACGACCTAAAAGTTTACTTACCTATACTCAGCGTAGATGACTGTCATAAGTTACAAAATGATCTTAACCGCTTATCTGCCTACTGTGTCAAAAATAAACTTCATTTGAGTATTATCAAATATAATAGCATAACATTTACAAAAAAAACGTAATGTAGTTAATTTTCATTACAACATAAATAATATTGACTTGAAAAGCATTGAATCGATCAAGGATTTAGGTGTTATATTAGACTCGAAACTTCACTTAGGTTATCACGTGGATCATATCACCGACAAAGCATTTCGCGCGCTCGGTTTTGTAATAAGACAAACAAACGTTTTTAGGCGACCATTATCATATATTTATTTATTCAACTCCTTGATTAGACCAATCCTAGAGTATGCCTCAATAGTTTGGAACCCATTTTATGAAAGGTATAGTAATCAGATTGAACGTATTCAACGAAAATTCTTAAAAACGGTTTACTACAAATGCTACCCCGCAACTCTCTTTTTTCCTACTCCCAAGCTTTAGATAGGTTTTCACTTCTGCCTTTGAACAAAAGAAGAATTTTAAGTGATGCGTTATACTTATACAAAATCTGTCATAACCTTATAGATTGCATCCCTCTTAATAATAACTTATTTTATCGCATCCCTAGTTGTTCTCAACGCATTCGTCTAAAATACTCTCATAAATTATTCAATGTAAATAAATGTCGAACTAACGCCGGTTTACGCTCGCCGATGCAACGCATAGTGCAATCATACAACGACAACTTCACAAGTATGGATATTTTTGCTACTACGACTTTTTATTTAAAAAAAAATGTTACTAAATATTTAAATGTATAATAAATCAAAATAACATGTATAATCTTATCTCGCTACTTTATGCATTATATACATTACTTTGGGTATACCGTGTTGAATGTATGTTAATGTTTATATAAATTTTTGTACATTTGTTTGTATGCCTTAATAAAATTAAATAAAAAATAAAAATAAAAATTCGTGCTGTTGGACGTAGATGATGAGTTCATGCCCAAAATATAAGTAATAATGGGAAAGAATTTTTTACCTCAACTCTCTCATCAAACTTAATTCGTTTCATTGAACCAACATTTGTATTTAATTATTCTTCTAACACTTCAACAACTCCGATCCAAATGAATGTGCATCTAATTTAGTTTAGTAAAGTATACTTTTAAACTATGTTATAAGGGTTAGTCGAAATTAGGTTGAAGGCGTTACTAGTAGAGCATAAGCGACGAATAATTGAATACTAGTAGTATTCAAAGTATGTCGTAACGGTCGATTTATTCCACTGAACATTCCGGGAATATACAAATGTAGATATTTCGCATACAGTTATTGTTGCGAGTATACCTTTATCGCCAAAACTGGTAAGTCAAAGTGATCTCCAATTAGGTAAATTATTATATTATTCATTCTCAATCCAAACACGGAACGTTAGAAACTAACACCGGTTCATTGAAACTGGCAACATACACCGTAGTCTTGTCATTTTCTATCTTTTGTCAGCATTTTTAACCAAATATGATATGATCATAATAATATATGGACATTCATCTAACGTACGCTTTTAAAGGGCACGATTCGTGTATACCACTATTCAGAAAACATATAGTTATATATATGAAATTTGTGTTTATGTAAAAAAAACCACAAGTATAATTAGATCGCTGCAGTTTTTCCTCGTAGAACTCGTCGGACGGATAGGCTTTGCTTTATACCCAATGACATTATAAACAAATACGAGTTACGCATAAGACTCTCAAATTACGCCGATTGGGGTAATTATATAGACTGCTATCTCTTTCCGTATCATACGTTCTATATCATCTGTCACATTCAATTTCATATGTCATATAATGTAAATATTATGTAGTATAATGTATATTAAAAATAATACAGCACTTGCTGTAAAACTTAATAAAACAGTCAATCATAAGGTCTTTTGTGCTATGAGTATAAATATCTTCACAATACATCAAAAACTGAGGCTAGTCTGAATAGATTTAAATACAAACTCAAAAATTGACTGCTCACACGTCGCTTTTATAACATCACTGATGTCTGCACTAGTGATAAAAATGTCTCATAATTATTAATTCTCTAGTAACTATTTTAACGAAACGTAATGATACTAGCGATCTTTTTTTTCATATTTCTTTTCATGTGTCATATACAAACAATGGTTTTTGGCCACCTATCCGGCAAACTTGTGAGCTATTGTAATTTTTCACACCACTGTAAAGAGTAAAAGTAAAGTAACAGCCTATACATGTCCCACTGCTGGGAAAAGGCCTCCTCTGTAGAGAGGGTATCAAGGCATAGTACACCACGCGGCTCCACTGCGGATTGGCGGACTTCACATATCTTCGAAATATTTTTCAGTCTTAAAAATAGGGTCCCGCTATACTGTGGTACCCGGGTATGGAACCCTAAAAACTTCAATCACTAATAAAATTTGTTCGCTGTCCTGCGTATCTTTTCATAAGGAACTAGTAGGATTGCGATTAAAATTGATGGTATTTATGACTTTGTCGACTATGTTATCGGTACATTCGTGTGCAAAATTCGAATTCTTTGTTGTATATGGGTTACTAAACCAGACGCCTTACAAAATGTAGGGATACAAAGCATTTGTCCGTTGCCGTCTGTCTTACACAACCTTGACATCGGCACAATTATCAAGTTGTTTTGATGGAGCCGTTATATTAAAAATGTATTCGGAATGCGGAAAACTTTATCAGAGTAATAAATTAAGTTTAGGAAAAAACGTTAAACGCTTACAATTTAATGAAGTGAGTTTTTCAA